CCCCTGTCTTTATTGACTTGTAACGTATAGCCATTCTCGTGATTGCATGACAACTCGGCTCACGCCAAGTTGGGCTTTAGGCCAATTAATGTCTCACAAGGGTGTTCTTTGTCCACTTATGCTGATTCATAGCATTGTGACGTGGCGCTTTCCAGCTGAACGAAAATTTAATTAGGTCTATTCAGCGAATCGTCCTTAGAAATTGATGCGACACTCGCCATTCGGATCGATTGCACGACGAGGCCTCGGTTCGTCATATCCGAACGTCTCCTCACATCAGAAACAATGATCTGCTAGGAAAACCCTAACACAATGGCATGAATTGTCACCGCCGGTTTACAGTATGATTCAGGAGCTGTCGTCTGTCCGGGGTCTCGCGTATTTATGTAACGAGGTTTCATGATCGATTTTCAAATCAGCTCTCAACCACAAGCATCTACGAGATTCTACGACATCGGCGTCACGCAATGTTCAAGTCAATGGCAGGATGTGTTTCAAATAAGTGTATGCTAATGTCCAGCGTAGTGAACTCAAAGAAATGGAGGACTCTCATTGGAAACATATAGAAATTGGGACGATTCAACCCTTAAGTAGGCAAAGTAGAACTGCCAAAAAATATGAAGTACAAATTTCATCCTACTACCTTAGTAATGTTCACTATGACGACGACGCATCTACGTCCATTTAGTCCTTAGCGTTTGATATACATCAGATTGTCTGGACTGTTAAAATCTCACTTATCATTGACATGTCATGGATAATGCTCTGGAACCCTAATAGTCTCACTTATAGCCTCATTCCTCAAGAAATCTGCTGGGAAAACATCATTCAATCCATTCGCCTCAGCAAAGTTGACATCTGAGCTGCCTTGTAACGCTATTCTCATTGACGTGAAATTTGCATTTCACTCGATGCATCGTTTTATGGAGTGGAAAGTCTTAAAGTTTAAGAGAAATTTTTCATTTCCATTTTGGAAGTGACATATTCATAGGCAATTTCTGCTACTAAACTCAAAGAAAATCTGTCTGAGTGGCTCCTCACTAACTGTAAAGTTTGTCAATAAAGATATGCTTTTGAACCATGATATGTGACACTGACTTGAATTTGCCATGACGTTGTTGTGCGGCATAATCCAGTGAGTTGTATGTTGATTAGAATCTACATTAGGTTACTTCTATTGCTGTTATTTTCATATTTACTTCTTCAAGTCCTGAATTTGCTGCCACTATTTAAGGTTACGGTTGGTCCACCCGCCAAAAAAATGCAAAACTTTCTACTGTACCTGCATGTGACACAGACTAGCAGGGTTGTTCAAATTCTCTAATAAGTAAATAGATACAGAAAAATTGAAATGGTAGAAAATAGCAGGCCCCCTTTAACAAACATTGACCTCGAAAGTTTCCCCCAAAGTGTGGAAGTGCACAAGTACTGTTTCTAAATTTAAGGTAGTTGCAGCTGACCGTTTAGCCTATCTTCAGTTTACGGTACTGTCGATTTCCCGGAGGCTCTTCTACTTGACTGTCGTGATTATGCCATGTTAAAAAAAAACATTCAAGATTTTGCCTCATTCAGGCAGGGTTCCTGGTGAAGTATTCCTGTGATTAGCGTTATCAATCTCCACCGTACATTCTGGTAGTCTTTGTGCGCTACTGTCATAGACACTGTAGCTACAATTCACTCGGTGCATTACGATGCAATGTGACAAATCTTAAAATGCTTGAATTCATCGCCATCACTTTGGAAGAGATGCAGTACAAACCATGTTATTAAAGTCAAACCAGGACTATCTGAATTGATCCCTGTTAATGCTGAGTTTGCAAGGGAGGGACGCGTTTGTCTTTGCTGCTCAACGTCGTTCTAGAATTTTTCGTCTGAGGCATCGTTGACCTTGGCAAAGGCAAAGATCTTATTTTAGAGGGAAGGCCGCCAGATGTTCTGCTGACGTCCAGTACAAAAATTATATTGTTGTGGCGAATATTTATCTTCGCCAGAGCAACACAGATGGGAAAATAGGCCTTTTACTTAACTTCCGCAGGTGGAACGTTAAGCACGACCCTCCTACGTGAATGATCTTCAAGTAGAACAGGGACTGGAGATTAAGGATTAAGGGGGACTAGAGGTTAGGCCTTAGTTAAGCCTTAAATCCATACCTTTTGCCATC